AACCTCACTAACAGTTTGGCTATATGCGAGTTTACATAATAGATGAGTTTCCTACTGTTTGTATGTAAATAGAATCTTTGTCAAGTAAACCATATGTTCAATGGACTAAAAAAAAGTTCTGGTTAACAAAATACAACTATATGGATTCCTTTGCTTAAAGATGAAAAGGTTTTTCAGGATGGAGGCAGGAGTGGCATGGCTTCTCAATCTTTCCAAATCTCCAATAGAAACAGACAAAGCAACTAGATAGCAAAGACCCATTAACAGCATTTAACAGAAAGCTGTTTGGAGCTACCACCAGCAGCCCCAAACACAAATGAGTGGGGATGAAGCACACTCATGACACCAAATATACATGGTATCAGCTTCTATGTGGGAGAAAGTACAGGCAAGGCACAGGCAATCTGACCAAACTGAGAACAGGACACCCCAAAATAACAACAAAACTTTGATGAAATAGGACTATTTGCAAACACCAGTCAAAAACAAAAACAAACAAACAAACAAAAGTTTTGGCTCAGTCTAACATTGGCTGAGTACAAGGGATCGCAATAGGGTCTGACACATATGAGGTCTCAAAACTAATCAAGCAGAACTCCCTTCCAGGATGGGGCTGACATACAGAGATTTGAAACTTCTAGTCATGGAATAAAAGCTAACCAGTGATAGTAGGGAAGAAAGGAAAGAGGAAGTCCCAATAAAAGTAGGCATGGAAGACAGAGCCAGTAAATTTCAGAGAGCAAGTCGTGATTTTTTTGAACACTACAAGAAAACAATAGAAGAGCCATCTCTGCAAATTGAGAGAAGTTACACTAAACAACACCTTCTTCTTAAAGTTCAGGAAAAATTTGTTTCACATAAAAATGAGGAAAAGAAAGATGTGAAGGTCAAATCCCACACAAAATTACCATAAGAAAAAAAGAGAATAAGTGGGGAGAAGAGCCTTGCTTCAGACATGGGAAGCATGCTAGAAAGACATGCCCACACAACAGATCAAACTGTAACTAGAATCTAAAAGACATGAAGAAAATCACACGAGATAAGAACAACACAAATCAGATTTAGAAAGAAAAAACTCAGAAATGAGGCATTAGTCATCAGGAAATATTAGATATAAAAGAAAACTTTTTGAAAAAATGAGTATGAAACTAGAAAGAACATAGGAGCAATAAACACAACAGATAATATCTTAAAAGAAATAGAAAAGGAAAATGAAAAAATTTAAAATCAAAAAGAAATGAAAAAAAAAGATAAAAAGAGATGCATGACCAAGTAACAATACCGATGATACCCAAAGACTATCCAACATAAAAATAGTGGAAGTCCCTGAGAGAATAAATCCAAAGAAAGGGAACAAAACAAATACTGAAAACTATAATTCTCTAAAACTTTCCTGAAATCAAGAAATCTGAAACTACACACTGAGAGAGCACATTCTATACCTAAGAACAGCAACTCAAAGTGACCAACATTATGATATTCTCATAAAATTATTGAACTTTAAAGAAAGAGAATAAAAAATCTTCTGAGTATCTAAGAAAAAAGAGCAAGTGACATCTAAGGGGAGTAAAATTATATATATAATTATCAGCTTGTCAACAGTAATGCTTTATGTCATAAGAAAACAGAGCAACAGAAAATACTTAAGGGAAAAAAATGTGAGCCAGTGATTTTATATCCAGCACAGCTGACTTTCAAGTATAAAGACCATTGAGAAATCATTACAGACAGGAAAGAACTCGAAGAACACAGTTCCTATGAGTTCTTCCAAGGGATCTATTAGAAAATATGTTTCAGGCATCAAATATCTAGAGAAACATCAACCTTAGAACAGTGGCAAACATTAAAAATATAGTTACTTGTACTACCAAGACTAAATGAGGATTAAAGGGAGCAATGCAGATAGGCTATAGCTCTTGGAATAGAAGGAGAATGGAAAGAGTATAAGCAAAAATTTTGGACTTTTCTTAGTGATTATATTAGTGGTGGTAGAATCAATGTCATCATTTTGAGACTCATATATCTAACATAGGACAGGAAATACATAATTATGAAATTCTAGATATGCCAATTCTATCATCCAGGACCCTTGAATAGGAAGTATGAGTATGAACTCATGAGATATTTTATAAAGAGATATGGCGAGGGGTGGGACAGGGGGGATTACAAATAATGAGCAATCCAGTAGCAATAAGCATTGCTAGTAACCCAGATTCTTAGATCATGATATGGATATACTTTCTACAAAAAAAATAAAGGGTCATTTTGAAGAAATGATTGGTTTTGTGTGTAGGATGAGCCTGGAATATTTCTTTTATATCAGGTAATAAGAAAGCAATTAAAACCTATTAAGGTCATGTCAAAGGCTCTCAGAAGTCAACCCAAAGATGAGGCTAAAGATGAGATGATTTGAAATTTAAAAAGGATAATCATGGCAATTGGAAGCCATCAAATATATTTAAATATATTGATTCATAATCATTTTTAAAATCTAGCTGGTTATTTTTGGAAGAAAATTGAAAACCAATTAACTTGAGAAATGATCGGTAGAGGAAAAGGATCAAGCACATATCTTACCTTTTCCATATAAACTGGGTACCCCTGGGTACCCAAAGAGTAGATGATAGAAATCATCTCACTATAAAATATTCCGAGTAATAAGTGAAAAAAAAATTATAGAATTGGAACATGACCCTTTTGTGACCTCTAGAGAAGGAAAGGCTGCTAACATCACAAAAGAAAAGACAAATTGACCTCATGTGCTTTCTAAGGAAAGGCCACACTGCCCACCCACTTTGGTCTTGCCAGTGGGACAGAACCCAGTCTGATCAAACCTCTGCATCCAGCTGCCAATTACCAAAACCAGAAGAAATGGAGGGATATGTTGAGCTATACCATAGGACACACTCAACAGAATCAGGACTGTGGGAAACTCTACAGATCAAGTGCCCTGGGGTTTCCCGATAGATAAATTAAAAAGAAAAGAAAAAGAAGGAGGAGAAATCTGTAAACTAAAAGAAACTTAAAGGTCTTTTTTTCTAGGGCTAAGCTATAGTGTCCTGAAGATGCTCCCATTTAGGAGTGGGTGATAAACAATTAAAAATACACAGACACTGAAGTGATTACTGTGGAAGTCGGTGGCTGTCTACTTTCCAAGAAAAGGAGGAGGTGGGATTGAGGCACATGAAGGGGTTTCTAGGGTGGCTGGCAAAGTTCTAGTTCTTGATCTACAGTGTTTACAAGGGACTCTATCTTATAAAATAATAATAATAATAATATAACAATAAACTACACATTTATTTCATTGGGCTTTATCTATGCTTTATTTTACAATAAAAAACTTCTTAAGATCCTTTTGTAAAATGAGCAATAAACGTATCAGGTATGTATAATTAGCCTCCTAAATTCTCTTTCCTCAATAAACTCCTATTTGATTTTATCATTTGTTCAGAGCAAGTACATATGTGCTCTGGGAAATGTGTTTTGAAGAATCGGTACAATGGAGGCACCTGGGTGGCTCAGTGGGTTAAAGCCTCTGCCTTCGGCTCAGGTCATGATCCCAGGGTCCTGGGATCGAGCCCCACATCAGACTCTCTGCTTAGCATAGAGCCCGCTTCTCCCACTCTCTCTGCCTGTTGCTCTGCCTACTTGTGCTCTCTCTCTGTCAAATAAATAAATAAAATTTTTAAAAATTTAAAAAAAAATTACAATGAAATCAATCAACAAACATTTTTTAAGTACCTACTATGTGTAAGCACTCTATTCCATTGTAATTGGCTGGTATCTTGAGATATGTACTATTTCCCAGATTGATATTGGGCACTGGAAATACTATGGTTTGAATGTTTGTGCTACTTTGTTTGTTTGTAATGTTTAGTTTTATCAGTTGGTGGAACTACTGCATTTTGGAGAGGAAAGGCTCATGCAATACATCCACTCAGCACAAAATTAATTGGCCTCTACCCTGGCCTCGGCCACTGCTGGCACTGAGGTCACGGTCTCATGGTCCAGGGCACCGCCTTCTGTGGGGGTCAGCAGCCCAGACACTGCTTGCTGAGAATCTGCTCTATTCGAGCTACACTTTGGTGACTCATCGTCCCAACCTCACAACCACACCACACATCTGGATAGACAGTTCCTAGAAATGACCGTTTCAGAGAGGTTTATAATGGCTACCAATTCCCAGCAAAACAAAAGGGCGTTTGAGAATTTTTACCAACCCAGAATCATAATAAGCATCCGGAAACAACTTACTCTTTTCCACCAGAAAAACCCAGTTTCTAAATCTAAAACTTAGCAAACACATCAATTTTTATGCTTCTTCTGCAAAGCAAAGGAACCACGAGAATTGCAAAACTTAGAAAAAAAGAAATCCTTTGGCCAAGAAGCTTTTATTTTAATCAAAAGTAACACATTAATAATAATAAAGACAGATGATAGATAAATAGGTAACACTGACTCCGTGGCAGAGGCTGTTTTAAGCAGATTACGTGCATTCATTTGTGTCATCCTCACCACAGGTGAGGTGACCTACCATTCCCTTTTTACAGAGAGTAGAACTGAGAAGCAGAGAAGTTAAATAACGTGCCCAAGGACACAGAGCCAGGAAGTAGCAGTGCTACAACCCAAACTATGTGGTCTGTGCTATTAAGCACAAGTTACTTCATTGCCCCAAGTTCTTAATGCCTTGGCAAGTGCAATAAATGCTAGGGTAGGGGAGTTAGTAGTTTGTGTTTGAAACCCCCTGGCCTGTTGAATCTGCATTTCAAAATCTCTGGCAGAGAGCACAGCTAATCAATGATCAAATAGCATCCACCATGTCTCCATACAGTTCTTGAAGCTGTCCGCTTCTCCCCACCCCCATTGCTACGGCTCTGGTTCAAGCTCCCATCATTTCTCCACTAGATTATTGCAAGAGCCTCCAAAATTACCTTTCTGGCTCTAGCCCTAATGGGAGAGGAGGTGGAGAGGCCCAAAAGAAAGATTAAAAATGTGCATACCTAGCCAAAGAATTCACATACACCAGTCCCAGCAACTTCTAGAAATGAGGGCTGGAGACGAAGCAGTTGCAAACTCAGGTCATTCCAAATCTAGAGAAAGTCAAAATCACAGCCACTATGAAGACCAGTAAATCAAACCATGCCATAAAGAACAAGCCGCCCGGATCTGCCTCAGGGACGACTACAGCTGTACACAGGAATCATCTGCTCTCCTCCCCACCTCCCCCAGCCTCTCTGGAGCTTGGGGGCTCCTGATCAGAGGAGACTGCCTGGCTCCTTTCACCTTCCCTCCTGCACAGGCCTGGCTGAGATGTGTCCTGGGCAGGGCAGTGAGCAGGAAGGAGACTCCTCACATGACCCAGCTTATTCCACCCTTTTCCCCTTCCCAAAGCAGCACTCTGCAGTAAGAGCACAGCAGGAATGCCGACCGAAGGGGGCCCACGGTGGGCAAGAAGGGCTCTGCTCCTCAGCATCCTCGGGGCTACTGTACGCTTGCCTCCCCCGAGTGCCTCCCTGCCCCAGCGTCTCCTAAGGGCCACAGGTAGGTGGACACTGGGGTCAGTTGCCCCTGCCGCAGCTGCCATGTACAGATGGAGGGACAAAGAGAGGAAAATACTCACTTGACTTACTTCGGCTCATGCTTCCTCCTCTGATTTTTAGCATTTGGAAGAATATCAAACGCTTTTGATCCCTCGGATAAGTTCTCAAAGATAGCTCAGAAAGAATTCACAGGCTTCATGAAGCAGGCGAGTCTCCAGTTCTTATTGTTGGAGACTTCATCGTGAAAAAAAAAAATCTTCTTTCATCTTAGAAATTCTCTCTGCAACAGTGGAGGACTCTTCACAGGCCCGTGGGCAGCTTGGGCTCTGAAATGGGAAAATGAAATTGTACAGATATTAGGAATCTTTCTCACCAGAGATACAGTTTCTCTTTGAGGAGGAGGAAGGGTTCAGAATTCCCTTTTAAGAAATAAAGCATACAAGGAAGAGTGATTTCATGATTTTTTAAATTCTTTCATTATCATCAGCTTACTTCATTAAAGCTCCTCTTTTGAGCCCCAATAATTATTTTTTTCAAAAGCTCTACATCATATTCAAAATGCCTTATACATTTCCACTAGGGTTCTTAAAATTCCATATGGTGACAACACACTTAGTTTTCTTAAGAAATCTCTCTTTGTGGGCTTGGAACTAGCGACACCAGCATACTTCAAATTTTCACCTTCTTTTCCTTACCAGGAAATAGCACCCAATGTGTTATGTCTCCATCCCTGGACTTTCCCGAAGGGTTTTTCACGAAACAGGAGCGCACAGATGGAGGCATTGTCATCTACTTCCTGATTATCCTTTACATGTTCATGGCCGTGTCTATTGTCTGTGACGAGTACTTCCTACCCTCCCTGGAAATCATCAGTGAAGGTAAGTGATTGGAAATCTCCCCCATAAGCTTCCGAAATGGTGGTGCCACACGCCCGTGGCTGTCTTTAAAACAGCTCAGCAACAATTTTGTCCATCTCAGCTGGTCACAGAGCACAGACTTCTGTGGTGAGGGGTCCTACCTCAAGGAACGGGCCTGTGTGTGGTTTTTCTTGGTAGTTCATGTGCAGCGTGGCATCTTTAAATGAGTACCCAGCACTTATTATTACAATGGGTCTCTCCAGAAACTCTTTGTCTCCTATACTCCTGGCCATTTGTTAGTAAACTGTTCCAAGTTTTCACATTTATGCCCTTGATGTATATGCTTAAGGCCTTCCTAATGCTCATTTTATACTTTTAAAAACCTGCAGTTTTACTCTAAAATTGTTTCAATTTTTTTTTAAGATAGATGGGTGGTAAACAAATGACATTTTTCATTTCAGCCTTATGCTAATAAGGAGACTAACTGGTGTTTATGAACCAATAAATAAGTAATAAGTCCTGCATCTTATGTAAAGTGACTTTGGGTATCAAATAATTGTAAATTCAGTTATTAAACTTCAAGCTCAGTCACTGGTTTCTGAAAATAAGATCTGCCAGGCCAAACCTCTCTCTTCTGTCCCCTCAGCCATGTAGATCACACAAGAATTCTGAGCATAGACCTTTCCTTGGTATCCTAGTCCCTTAAATCAGGATGTCAATGATGAGTCATGCCCTATGCAACAGAAGTGCCAGCAGAAATTTCCAGTCTGTCTCCAGCTTGGTTGGTTTAGTTGACTGAGCATGCTTACCTCAGAGAATGCCAAAGTTAAGGGTTGGGTGTCCAGCTGCATGCTTACAGGATTGCACAGAAATAGCATCCTCCCCCAACCCCCCCATCCCCACCCCCACATACACTCTGCTAGCATTTCTTCCCAGAGAGAGCTAGAACGTTAACTCTCCCTTTTCCCAGGGCCCCAGCCCCCTGGCCCTGCTGAAATGCTCCTGATTTTCTCTCCTGTTCACTGCACCATTGCAGTATCCTTAAGACCTACAACAGGACCTGACAAGAACAGAGGCTCTCAACACATATTTGTTTTAAGAAAAAAAAAAAATTCATAGAACGGGTCAGTTTGTTATAATTATTATGATTTAACTCAAGTAGGTCTAAATATCGTCATTTTTATACTGGCATTCCATTTTATGATGACCTTGATATTTTTCTATAAAACAGATTAAATTACTTTAACATAGTATTTTTACCTAGACTGATAAAATGCAAGGAAAAAAGTAAAATCACCCAGAGATCCCCACAGTCAGCATCTGATGTATTTCCTTTCGGGCTTTTAGATCTTGATATAAATACAGTTTGAGGTTTTTTTCTTTTTCCTCATATTTTATTCCTCACACTTTCCCATATTATTACTGTTCAAAAACATGATTTTTAATGGTAGCATGATTTTGTAAATGATGTAAGTATCTAACACTGGGTTTTATACACAGTAGGTACCCAGTAGAGATGTATAATTTTTAAAATTATTTTCTTTGGACATCTGGAGGTTTTTTTTATTCCAAGCAATAAAAGCCTGTACTTGTATAAAATCTTTGCAAAGTTCTCTGATCATATTTTGATAAAGATACAGAACTGTGCATATTTTGAGCTTTATTTTATACATTGCCAAAACACTTCACAAAGGGTATGCTAACTTAAACCTCCAGAGTATGGGATAGCTTCTACTCTAGAAAACCACAAATAATAACATAATAAATATTTTTCTTAATTGCTTTAAAAATGGAACTTCATTTTATAAAATTTGGATTTATCCTATTCTTTGTGAGGTTGAACATTTCATGTTTATTGAAATTTGTGGTTTTGCTTTTTGCTTTTTTGCCCATGTTTTAATAGGAGGGTATTTGTCTTTTTATTATTGATTCCCAAGACTTTTTTTTTTCATATAAGGATATTAACACTTTTCCTAATATAATTTTATATCATATGCTTTTTCATATTCCACTGTTTGCTTTTGTATTTTGTGTTTCTCACATTGAAGTTTATTTATTTTTAAGTGAATTTATAAATATTTTCTTTTATGATTCTCCTTTTGGTTTTATACTTAGAAAGATATTTATCCCCAGGTCAGAAAAATTGTCATATTTTCTTTTACATGTAGTTTCTCTCTTTTTTTTTTTTTTACATTTATTTCTTTCTTTCACTAAGAATTTGTTTTACTATAGGTGCAATGCTATCTTCAGAAAGCTGACCAATTTTCACATACTAAATTCTTACATATAGATGTATGTACATCCGCTTCTATACTCTTAACTGTTGTAATAATCTCCCTTTTGCCAGGACTGAACCTTTAGTTAGAAAACCTACATAGATCATATTAATTACATTAAAATAAGAATTTTTTTCATTTTTATTTATCTTATTTTTTTAAAGATTTATTTATTTATGGTAGAGAGAGAAAAAGTGCTCAAGCAGGAGAAGGGCAGAGGGAGAAGGAGAGAGAGAACCCCAAGAAGACCCCATGCTGAGCTCAGAGCCTGACTCAAGGCTCAATCGCATGACCCTCAGGACCATGACCTGGGTGCCTAGACTGCCTAGATGATTTAGACAGTTGAGCGTGACTCTCAGTTTTGCCTCAGGTCATGATCTCAGGGTGGTGAGATCGCACCCCTCATCAAGTTCTAAGCTCAGCACAGAATCTGCTTAAGTTTCTCTCTCCCTCTCCCTCTGCCTCTCATCCCCCCACTCCCGACTCCAGGCTCACACATTCTCTTTCTCTAAAATAAATAAATAAATTTTTAAAAACAAAACAGAAAAAAAATAAAATAAAAACAGAAACTAGGAAATTCTAAATTCAAGGTACTTTGTCCCACCCTGAAAATTTCTCTTCCTGGAAAATAGAAAGTCAAAAAGTGTTGTTGTTGTTGTTGTTGTTGTTGTTGTTTTTTCATTTTCACATTTCTAAACAATGACTTGACTAAAAGAATAAATTCATCAAGAATTTTGTTTATAGAAAAATTGTCTTGGGAGCAGTAAATAAATAAATAACTTTTCTAGGCCTGCAGCAGAAACTGCATTAAAATTTAGATTGCTACTTCAAAATAATCTTCATTAAGTGACTTCACAGACGATTTATAATAATGACTTCCACCAGGCCACTTGTGGAATTACTCTGAAACATCATCAGCAGACAAGTGAATCGCTCTTTGCTCTGAAATATGGTAACAGTAGATATTACAAATGTGTAAATTGGTATTCAGTCCAGAACTGGGTCCACAATTCCAACATGTGGGAGGTGGGGGGGGTGCAGTTCCCCCAACAGCAAGCAATTCTGACACTATCTACCCAAAGATAGCGTCTGATTCAGAATGCCCCCACACTTGGCCCTCACTGCCTTCAGATGGCATCTGCAAGCGCAAGTATTATCTATGCTTCTGACTGACTGGCTATTGATTGGGAGTTCCAACAACCCCCTTCTTGGGTTTTGGATACCAGGCATAAGGCTAGGTTCTTACCTATACTTCTGACCAATGGGCTATCAATCAGAGGTTCCCATGACCTCCTCCTTAGGTTCAATTAATTTGCTAGAGTGACTCACAGAACTCAGAGAAACATTCTACTTACCAGATTATTAGTTTATTGTAAAAGGATATATACTCAGAAACAGCCAGAGGGAAAAGATCATGCAGCAAGGTACAAGGAAGGGAAGCAGAGCTTCTATGTCCTTTCCAGACATGTCACTCCCCCAGCTCTTCAAATCCCATCTTTTTATTTTTTGCTTAGGGAGGTTCCATCACATAAGCATTGACCACTGACAACTGATTCAGCCTCCAGCCCTTCTCCTTTCTCCTCCTCTGGAGGCCAGAAGTTAGGACTAAAAGTTCCCATCCTCTAATCACGTGGTTTGCTACCTTGGCAACCAAGAGCCATGCTAGATAGTGTCCAAAATATGCCTCGTTAACATAACAGAAGGCACCTTTATCACTCTCTACACTAAAGAATTTCCAGGGCTTTTGGGAGCTGGAAGCCAGGAACTATGGATGAAAAAAAAAAAAAAAAAAAAAAAAAAATATATATATATATATATATATATATATATTTTTTTTTTTTTTTAACTACATCACAATATCATAGCCCACTTCCTGATCTTCACACACATATTCCCCTTATGGCAAAACAATCATAGCAGTCCAAAGATGCTGGCCCATTACCAGACTCTCATTCAGTCATTGGTAACTACCCAGCCCACTGTGCTGGTCTAGATCACGGACAGCAACACTAGCAAGCACTTCTCCCTCAGCCCATTCCTCATCATACAGTGTAAGGCCACACGGTGCACAACTAGTGAGCTATTTTTACTACAAGCAATAAAGCTGAATTCACTATTAACCCCAATTTGGCAAAGGGGGTAAAGGTACACCCTATCCCACCAGGCTCTCAGCAATCATGACAGAAGTGTTAAAGACATAGTCACAGTTTCTGGCTTTTCATCCTCCCTGCTTCCAGCCCTTGTAGCTGCAGCCCTGGTCCTGGGACCCCCTGCACCTAG